CATTGAAATTCCCCAAGAAACTTTGGCATCAATTTTGTCACGATACCCTTTAGTACAGACGACGTACACAAGCTGAAAAGGAGATGTAAAGCATGGGGCTGCGCTGGATTTCCCAGCTCACTAATGGGAAGAGAGAACGCTGTTCCCAGTAAATTCCAGTAAAGCAGGGACTTTGGTCAGCCAACACAGGCTGCATCCTGATGTGCTTAAGAACATGTTTGAATTTCTGAGTCAAACCTGTTCATTTAGGAAGTTTAAGGTGATTTGCCTAGATTAAAACAAAACAAAAAAACCCCAAACCAACCCCAAATCCTTCAAAGCACCAAAATCGAGCATCCAAACCCTAACACAAAAATTCAGAGCACAGCCACTAGGCCAACTGTCACACAATTCCAGAACAATTTCTGTGAGATGTTATTTTTAATGATCCCGTGTAACAAAAGGAGAACACGGTTATTCTGAGGTTCCAGAGCAACACAACATTTGTCAAGCGCACAAATCACAACCAGCAAGAGCTAAAATCAAAGGAACTAAAGAGTTCTGACAGATTATTTCCCCAAGAGCACTAAATTCAGGGATGCTACAAACTCCACTCTCATCCTTCCTGGCAGTTTTTGTTCCAGGAGTGGCGCAGCGTTAAGGCAGGCCAGCCCACGTGCCAGAGCTGCGGGTGGATTCGATAGCACACAGCAGGAGACAATAGATGGGCGCAAGCAATTTTTGTGGAAAATAAACCAAACGGATCAAATGCAGATTTTTTTTGGCTTATCCAGACTTGTACTTCAATTGGACAGAAAATCCAGACTCTGTAGCTTAATGCAAGAAGACGACACGGTACACATAGTGACTTGGAATGTGGTTTTTTTTGTTTGGTGTTTTTTTTTGTTGGTTTGTTTGTTTTAAAGAAGCCCCTCAACTGATACCAAACCTGTAAGTTTCCGTTTATCAGCCAGCCTTAACCTGTTTTTGATCAAGCCACAATTAATATGGATAAGACAGTTAATATGCTAATCTACCACTCTTGGCAAATAGAGAAAATCCAGGAAAAACTGCAAGATGTTCAACTGCCTAAAGCGTTCCAGTCTGCTTTACAGAGCACACGTTCATCCCCAGAGTGCTGACAAGACAGAGCAAGAACTGGGGATGGATGGACGGACGGACAGAAACCAACTCTTGTACCCTTGCCTGTAAATAGCCCCCACCTCCATTTGTGAGCAACTTTTTCCTACAATGGGGATAAGAGTACGCTGCTCCTGAAGGATCTTGATGCTTTTGCTCCAGAAGAGAAGGCAATTTGCCCTCGCAGCCCTGTCTGAGCACAGCAGCTCCTGTCCAGATAGCCAGCTCCACGGCTGGGTCCAGACAGATCACTCGTGGTCTCTGCCAGACCTTCCTGTGAGTACACCAGAAGTCACGAGCTTAACCAGTACTGTGACGAGTTCTAGTATGGCTCAGAGAAAAACAGAAAAAAAAATAAATCATCCAATTTAGAAAATAGTCAGAATGTGTAAAATCGATGCAGGGAGCTGAATCTGGAGTACAATAAATGCAACGCGGTGCAACAGGCAGCACGATCCAAGAACAGCTCCAGGAGAAAGCCTCAGCTGGAAGCAACTGATGCTCAACGCAGGGCAAACGTGGCAGGAAAGTCGTGTATTTAAGGGGGAGGAAAGCACAGGGGGGAGATGAACAGGGGGAAGGGAAAACAGGGCTTGAAAGCTCGACAAGACTTCAGGATTCCACCAGGTTTAACAAACCAGCACCTGTACTGATGTAAATCAGTGTACTCACAAGCAAAGCGATTTACACGACACTATTTTACCATCCCACCACAGACCAGACCTGTCCTTATCAACGGGGGGAGGACTCTCCTGGCCCCCATTCCTTCTCCCCAGCAGGTCCTGCAGGATAAGGCCACGCCAGCGCAGCGAGCTCCCTGTGCTGCAAAACGCCGTGCAGAGGAGCAAGATTTTGGTTTGGCCTTGTGTGACCTCCCAAGGACTTCCACCACTACAGACCTTCTTCTGTTTCTTCTGGAATCAGTAAAATGCGCGCTCATACCAGGCACTATTTTTAAATTTAACTTTGAGGTTTAAAAAAAAAAAAAAAAAAAAATTAAAAAGAAATATATTTTTAAGTTTAACGCAGAGATATTGCCAGGCTTTGTATTTCAAATCTTGAAGATCAACTGATTTCAGAAAGATAATCTGTTCAGTCAGCTTTATGTCAGCTAAACTGTGATTATTGCTGGGTCACCTTTTCCAAGGAAAACATTATGTTTTCAGTTGTGAAAGAGTTAAGGAAGTTTAAAAGCCAGGACGCCACACCTCACTAGGCATGAGTTTTACCCAAGAAGTCCGTAGCAGTCCAGTCATTTCAAGCAACAGCTCTTTTTTCATCTCCCCAGAAAATCAGCTCAACTGCTTTAAAGACACAGGTCTTACGAAAGCTATGAGCTGCATTCCTCTAAAGATCAAAGGTTTGGAAAGGTAAGTCCCACACTTGGGGGGGGGGAAAAAAATCCTTATGAAATTAAGATCCCCCTTCCCTACCACTGCCAAGCGTGTTCTTACATATGCAAGAGATCAGAGTCTGGATCCAGAGACAAGCTCCTCTGTATCGCAGGCATCTGCAGGCTGGGATCGCCTTCTCTCGGAGGTATTTGCATCCTGAGGCGGGTCGGCTGCTCAGCACCACGTCTCTGCTCCGGGAGCGGAGCCCCGCACCACCCTGGGAAGCTGCTGCCTTACTTCCAGAATCAATTCGGGCTCATTCTTTGGCCTTTGAGATGACCTAGGGTTCAATTCCTCCCGATTAAGAATTTTATACAAAGGTGTTCCAACTTGCAAACAGTATCTAAAGAGCTTACCCAAAGCCTCGTGAAATTCCTAATTATATTTATTACGATTAACTTCAGCAGGCTGAGGATCAGGCTGCCTCCTCAGGCAAGCAGAGTTTTTATATGGGGAAGCCTCTTCTCCCTCCTTGCAGAAACCGAAGGCAACAACATCCTATTGCCGCCCGAAATAAGAACGTTGCATGGAGAGAGGACGTCATCCCATCCCATCCCATCCCATCCCATCCCATCCCATCCCATCCCATCCCATCCCATCCCATCCCATCCCATCCCATCCCATCCCAATCGGCATTTCTGTTCCAGACGCTCTCTGGGAAGTTGAGCCCCTTGTTCATCGTCCTGTTTGCGCGTCTTGCGACAGAGACGGACACCGACCGGGCAGAAACACTGGCACACGTTTCAAAAACATAAACTCACAAAAAGCACATGTGTGTGGGGGCAGGTAACGCACCGAAAGAGCTCCAATACCTCACTGTAATTTATTCAGTTTTTGGTATGAGCAATCTTTCCAGCTATTCTCCAAAAAAAGAACACGCACACCTGTGTTAATGAGCAGGTAGCGATTACGCCAAAAGACACCTCCAGAGATTTACTCCTCGTCAGCACAACACAGCTGCTTGACACGGGAATCATCCATCACCCCAGTTAACCACTTCCGTGCGAGACACAAGCACGTCCTAAACATCAAACTGAGCAACTTGTGTGACTGCCCCTTTGGCAGAAGGTTTATGGAGAAAGCTGGAAACTATCGCCCTGCCTCAATCCCGCTGATGGAAGAGGTCTTGTTCTTCATGTACTGAAGCAGCATCTGCCTAAAATAATCAGGCTCTTGCAATTTCTTTTAGAAAAGCATAAAAAGTTGGGAAGAGTTTATAGATGAATTGCCATTAAACATCAGGTATCAATTTTCCTAGTAGCACCCATAAGTGCCCCTCCTCCCAATAATTCCTGCACAGTCGATAAGGATCTTGTGTTTTCCATTTCACATCTCGAATCTGCTCTGCTGTACCACCCACATCCCAGCGAACGCAGACTCGTCACTCCCAGAACTGTTCAGGCCACTTTGCACAGACAGGTGGGTCTCAGGTGCTACCGCCCCAACATCGGCCGGTGTCAGAACCAGGAATATTCTGGACTTCCTGCTCAAGACATCAGATCTTACTGCTCTATAAAGAAACAGGTGGGTCTCAGGTGCTACCGCCCCAACATTGGCCGGTGTCAGAACCAGGAATAAAGGAGAATTCTGGACTTCCTGCTCAATACATCGGATCTTACTGCTCTATAAAGAAGAAAGGAAGACTCTGAAGGGCCAACCTCAGGGCCACCTCAGAGTTTTCCAAAACCTCACAATTTTTGACAAATCTTCGACTCTGGTATAGCCAGAATCTGGGTTAGAAATACGGTGGAAGATTTGGAATCTGGCTTTGAAGTGATGCCCATAAACCTGTGCGTCAGAACCACCCGACTCATTTGTGCATCTCAAACACAAGTCAGGAGAAAAGCTTTACATTTTGTAACAATATCATTCTCCAAAGTGATAGAGAACTTTGAATTCATGTGTTCAGATGCCAAAATTCAGACACCTTCAGGAGGTTGGACTTTCGAAAAAGTATTACGAACTTGTCCTACAGAGAGCTGCTGCAGACAGGTGCTGCCTTTTCAGAACACTTCTAGTGTGCAAATCCTGAAGTTACTCAAAAGAGAAAAGTCAGGCTTATCCACACATACTGCTCTGTCAGGAAGAATCAAGTTGCAATTAAACTTCCTCTGTTTAGACAATTAGAATCTATTATTTTTCCTGTATTGCAGCTCAATTAAAAAAAAAAAACCCAAACCACTCTTCCGCACATAAATCTCAATCAGTAGCTCGCAGCGCATCCTCTTTGTAACTTGCACGTTTCTCTTTACTCAGCTGCTCATCACAGCTGCCAAAGCTCGTGGAAGGAAAATCCAGGACGGGATTTATACAGAAGGAGCTGTTGAACTTCACGTGAAGAGCCAGAGCTGCAACGCACGCGTAAAATTTTCATTCTCTCTACCTTTAAGACGCAGAGAACTTCTTCCCAGTGCGATCCGACGGCATTTTACTGCGCCGGTATCCCGAACGTTACCGTGCAACGGCAGCACGTGGGTCGTCACTCACCTTTTTGAGGTGCTCATGTCCACAGGCTCATCTCCCGTCTGAACCTCCACTTTAATAGTCGCTTTCACCTCTCCACTTTTTAACAATCCTTGTACTTTTCCAGCTCCGGGATCGGTTTTTATCTTCATGTCGCCTTCAGCATTTAGATCTGTTGCTAACAGTCCTTTCTCCATTTTTATTTTTTTACTGTCCACATCGTTGTGCGTTACCTCACGTTCTAAGGCTCGTTTCTGACTCCGTGTCCGGCATGCTTCCTCCGTCATGGTGAGGCTCTGCGGAGAGAGGAGACACAAACGAGTTAAGCACATTGGAAAAAAAAGAAAAAAAGTTGTACAAAACACCTCAATTTCAAAAGAGGGCAAAGTACAGCGGTTACTGCAAAAAGAAGTTCAGAAAGAGCAATAAAGGTTTTGCTCGCTTACCCTATCTTCAAAATACATCTCAGTCTGGAGCTATTACACCTGGCATCGCTGTACTTACACTTTTCATGTTAAGCAAAAACAAACAGGAAAAAAAAAAAAGCAAAACAAGAACACACACACAAACCCCACTAAGCATAAACTACAATCACCGAGGAGGGGGGAAAAAAAAAAAAAAAAGTCTGCACTAGAGCATGAGAGACCACACAAACCCCCACGACGAAAAGAAGTTTGGCTCTTCACCAAAAGGCAGGAAGAACCTATGTATTTGCCTCGCATGCAAATAAACGTAATTACTAAATTGGAGATTAGGATCTCCCCGGACTGGGAGCTTCCCCAGGACCTAAGCCTGACTGGGAGTTTCGGGAACCAGACACATGGGGAAAAGGACCACCACACCCTGCGTGAAGAGGCGCTTGCACGGGTCGGGCGCTACGGCACTGCCATTGGAACGCTCAAGTTGAGAGTTTCTCTGCTCCTGGAGAAGGAGCCGGGCTTTTCCAGGCGGCAGAGGAAGCGCTGGGCTCGGGGGAACCGGCCTTAACCCCTCGCCTGCCGGAGGCGCGGGAAGTTTTGCTCCTGGTGGGCTCTGACATCTCCGCCCGCACTTCGGTACCTGCGGACACCCATCCATGGGACGCGGAGCTGAGTCAGGCTTTGATCCCATGACATCACTGGGCTCCACATGACCCTTCCCAGGATGCAGCCTGCGAGACAAAGCACTTTCCAGAAACCA